ATGGGCTCATGGAAGCCCTCTTCAACGACGGAGTTGCCCCGCTCGACCTCAACTGGTCGATCTTCATCTGCGTCCCTAAGGGAACGGAGGAGGACGACGTCCCAGACTCCTGCACGCGCACGGCATCCACGGTGCGCACCCTCTCCCTCAAGAACTGCGACGCCAAGCTGATTGCGGCCTGCGCGGATCGAGGGCTCCAGCCTATTGCCACCTCATATACTTCACCCGAGCAGAAGGGCTTCACTGCTGGGCGGCGTTTCGTCGACCACATACCGTTCTTGGACGCGGAGTGCCGCGGGGAGGGCCTCCTTCCTGATGCTGTGACCCGCCGCCCCATGTTCCTGTCGTTCGACTTCCGCCAGGCCTTCCCATCGCTCTTCAGGGAAGTCATCGAGAAGGTCCCCCCGCGCTTCGGGGTCCCACTGGGCTTCCGCAGCGTGATCGAGGCGCTCTACAGCAACTGCCTCGCCTTCAGCTCCTTCCGTGCCGAGGGCACCAGTGCGGAGCTCGAGCCGTTGTTCGCGCTCACGTGCGGTATCATGCAAGGATGCCCGCTCTCTGGCACGGTCTGGTGCTTGGCCATGGATGCCCCCATCCGTGCCCTTCTGGCGGCGATCGCCGAGCATGGATCCCTCACGGCCTGCGCGGACGATCTCGGGATGCTGATCAAGAACGCGGTCGCCCTCCCGAGCATTGACCACACCTTCGTCTCCATAGAGCTCGCCTTCAATCTGCAGCTGGCCTTGCACAAGTGCGTGCTGGCCCCGCTGTGGGAGGAGATCACGGACGACACACTGCAGAACGTCAAGTCCTTCCTCGCTGAGGAGGTCCCCCGCTGGCTGGGCTTCCGCATCGACTCCTCGGCCAAGTACCTGGGAACTCACCTGGGCCCTGGCGTCACGGACTTCGGCATCTGGAAGGCTGCGGCGGGGAAGTGGTGGACCCGCTGCTGGGAGCTGGCGCGCACGGGCATGGCCACCAGCCTCGCGGCCCGCGCGTGCAACATCAACGCGCTGCCGTGCCTGTCGTACCTTGCGCAGTTCTACTTCATCGTGCCCGCCATCTGGAAGGTCGAGTTCACCTCCCTGCACCGCTTGCTGCGGTTGCCGCCGTCGTCCATGCGCAAGGCTGACATCCTATCGTTGAGCGCGTGGTGTGGCTCACCGTCGCCAATTGGCCTCTTCCCATACACGATCGCCGCGATGATGCGTTCGGCGGAGAACGCGGTCCGTGGATGGGAAGCTCACCTCCGCCACTTCCATGAAGCTGCAGTGGAGCATGTTCCGCTGACCGACGTGATCAAGGGCAACTGGTCCCCACCGTGGTGGCGGACGAGGAGGGCGATCGTGCAGAACTACGCCTTGATCTCGGATGCCTACGGCCAGCTCGACATTCCCAGACCGACGCTTGACACGATCGCGGTCCCGATCCCGAGCAGGTTCATCCAGAAGGCGAAGTCGGCGATGCTCCTGGAGACGATGACGGCGGCCGCAGCCACTCCTCCCAGGAAGCCCAAACGACAGGCCACGGCCGCTGCTGTGCTCCGTGGCTCGCTGTACCCCGAGGACCTCGTGCCCACCTTCCACCGCCGGCTGCGCAGGTGGGGGGTCGAGTGCTCGTTGCCCGTGCTGCGCGAGAGATGGCCTCCGCTGCGTAGCAAGCTGACGGAGGTCCGCCCTGCCTGGATGTGGTCGTGGATGCGCACGGCGGTCAATGGCTGGACGACCTCGCGCCGCATGAGCGCCGTCATCGACGCACGCCCGTGCCTCTTCGGCTGCGACGACGAGGATGCGCTCGAGCACTACATCCACTGCCCGATCCTTCGGGCGATGGCCGCGGGCGACACGGGAGCGGACGCCATCGGCAACGGCCTGGAGCTCCTCGGCTTCGGCGACGAGATGTACCACTCGAAGCGGCCCATCGCGGACTGCATCTACACCGTCGGCCTCATGTGCCAGTGCTACCACATCCAGAAGTATCGGATGGACGTGGGCCTGGCCGTGGGCGCCGACCAACGGGCTAGCGTGAGGCTGGCCGCGCTCCATCGCATGCAGGCTTAGGCGTGGCTGCAGCTCAACCTGCCCGCCGAGCTTCGTGCCCTCCTCCTCCTCCTCCTCCTCCTCCTCCTCCCCCTCCTCCTCCTCCTCCTCCTCCTCCTCCTTCTCCTCCACCTCTTTCCCCCCTCCAACTTATGGTAGTGGTGGTGGTCGTGGTGGTGGTGGTGGAAATCGGGCCCATCATCGGGAGCGCAGAACAATAGTTTTTTTGCAAGCATCGTGGCCTCGGGAGCGCGGATCCAGCGCAATCGCGAGGGATCCTGGCCTCAGGAGCGCGTATTTTTTTTTGTTCCCCGCGGGAGAGCGTGCGGGTTGGGGTTGGGGGGGAGGGGGCGATGCATGCAGCCGAGCGTGCTCGGGAGGGGGCCCTGCCCCTCCCCCTCCTCCTTCTCCCCCTCCTCCTCCTCCTCCTCCTCCTCCTCCTCGTCCTCCTCCTCCGCCTCCGCCTCCGCCTCCTCCTCTTCCTTCTTCTCCTCCTCCTCCTCCTCCTCCTCCTCCTCCTCCTCGGGGGCGTCCCGTCTACAGAAGCCCTACCAGGCAGCCCTTGGCATTCTAGCACGCCTCAA